GATGTATAAATATGCTAAGAGGTTTTTAAAATACATTATTAGGTTTGGGCTTTTTTTGTTTGATTTTTTTTTTTATAGAGCTTGAATACTTATAGGGTGCATTTTGTTAACATTTCCAAATGTTCTGACAACCATGAGATTCATCAATTTTCAAAATCTTATATCTGAGATGAACATTTTCCACATGACATCCTTAGAGAGATGAGTAATAAAATAGTGGAGATGGGCAGTCTTAGGGTTAATGAGACCTCCTTTGTCATATAATTTGGTCAGCAAAAGCTATGTCTAAGAAATAATGATCTTTGTTATTACTCTCCTTCAGCAAGCTCACCTGCGAGCCCTCAGATTTCTTCTCTAATTTATTTCCAACATTCTCAAACCCTGACAGATGCAACCACCTGCTATACAAAATAAAAACTGCTAGAGAAAACCAAACATGACTCCACTACCATGTCAAAATAAGCCCTGCCCATGACCAAGTTTAGGGCTGAATTAGTGGTAGACCTGCTGGCTTTATAGATGGAGAGTAATGACAAATGGTACAGCTGCATTGGAGGAGCTGGCTGGAGGATTTTTCTCATCAGCAGTCTATTATCAGTAAACAGAGTTCGATTGGAAGCAAAGCACAAAACTTCGGGTGGAAAAATGTTCAACACTGCTGGAAATGGGCCTGGGGATGTTTTTGATGTATTACTTCTGGTTTTATCCAAATCGGAGGTTCTCATGAGGGGAGGAAAAAAACCAAACCAACCAACCTTGTTTATCTAAAATAAACTTTTCAGTCATCCAAACTAAAATTTAATTAGAGAATTCTAAAAATCCAGGGGCGTTTGAGATTCAGATTTTTTTTTCTACAAAAAAGCCCACAATCACAATGTGAAATCCTTTATTTGAATCATTTTTGGTATCCATCAAAACTACAAATACTGGCTATTAGAAAATAAAAGGTTGTTTTCTTTGGAGTGCACCTCAGAAAAATAATCTCAATAGCGAGAATGGGGATTTTTTTTGTAATAGTTTTTTTCCTAAGCCATAATGTCTTGCTAGGACGTAACAAATAAGACTGAAAGCCATTAAAAAAAAAAAAAAAAAAAAAAAAGAAAACAAAGATATTGGGGCCTGGAGGGAAGTGGCAACATCATAGCTGGGAAATACAGACTTAATGAACGTAAAAAAAAAAACTGAAAAACATAAAAAAAAAAAAAAAAAAAACAAACGAGAATGGATCAGGTGTGAAGTGATAAAACTTTCCACTTCTTTGACCTTGTAAACCTCACATCGTAACGCATGACACAGCGGGAAGGTTTCCTCGAAGGTCTGCGCATCCTCCTATTTCCTTTACTGGCTTTCAACCTAGTTTTTCCCATTAATTGCTGTTCATTTATTGAACGGAAAGCATACATTTTTAATTTTGTTAGTTGAAATGTTGGCCGGTGGCAAAACCTGGTACTTGGAATTGGTCCAGTTGAGGCACGTGAATCAGCAGTTACTGGTTTAGAGGGTTTTGCAATTTTTTCACTTTCTCTCTGAGAGAGAAAGATAAAAGGCTCCATCTAGTGGGCAAGAACTTTTTAGTTAGTTAGGGAAAACAAAAAGCGAGGTTTTTCCCTTCATTTTAGGCGTGAAGAAACACTGCTTCAGCTTTCGTTTCATTAAGCTGCCGTGTTGTTCGTAATTCTTGCCTTCTCCAGAGCCATCATTTCACGCGCAAAGCTGAAACGTTAAGAATTCTTCTGACAGTCTTGAGCAAGAAGCAATAAATGACACTGAGGGGGTTTCTATAGGGGAGGAGTTGATCCATGAAGTTCTTCCCCCCCCACCCACTTCAAGCTTCAATATATAGTAACTGAGAGGGGATAATTTGGGTGTCAGCAAGTATTTTAAACTATTTACGGTTCCTTTCTACTTAAATCAGATTGGAAGCATTAATAACTTGACAACGACACTTAATACACTATTTTGGGAGTATTTTCTCTCTCTGCGTGTTACCTTATTTTCATTAAATGACCTGTTTAGCCGCAAAGGGTGAAATCTGGGTTCTCTGGGAGCTCAGTCCATCGGCTTCTGGCAAGGCACAACCTCGGCAGCCTCTGCTGGCCCTTCCAAAGGCAAACACCAAAACTCATTCGCCCTGGCGTTTGTTTGGGAGCCTGCCCAGCACTCCTGTGTGTCCAAAATCATCCTGAGAGAACCTTTATTTTAGGTGCATAATTGATCTAGTAAAATAATATTTTTATTTTTATTTTCCTCTTTGCTGAAGTTGTGCACTGCATCGCAGTTGTGCCCCAGGCTCCTGAGAGATTCATATGGCAGGACTCTTCAGTTTAAAGCGGTGGTGAAACTCGGGTGTTGCTCTCTGATTCCAACCAGATGTAGCCAGCAGCTGAAACCTTCTCTTCAGTTCACTTTAGGGCAGGAACAAGCAGCAGCGAGCACAGATTTGGCAGAAGAGGCACTGAACCACGTTCTATGCCCTGCCTTTTTTCAGACCATCACTCATTTCCAAGCCACAGGGCTTGGCAAGATCAATTCCTCCCGAGCAGCTTCCAGCAATGGGTAGAGAGTGTAACGTGCTTTGTGCTAATACATGACTACACCCAAATTTACCTACAGAGCCCATGCTCACATCCACAATTGGGTATTTTGTCTCCTGTGCAAATCACAGAATTGTCACAGAATTGTCAAGAGTTGGAAGAGACCTCTAGAGATCGTCTAGTCCAACTCCCCTGCCAAAGCAGGGCTGCCCAGAGCACATCACTCCAGGTGGAGCTTGAAGATCTCCAGAGAAGGGGACTCCACACCCTCCCTGGGCAGCCTCTGCCAGGGCTCTGCCACCCTCACCCCAAACAAGTTCTTCCTCACATTGGAGTGGAACTTCCCATGGTCCAGCTTGTGCCCGTTGCCCCTCGTCCTGTCACTGGGAACCACTGAGAAGAGTCCGGCTCCATCCTCCTTCAACCCACCCTTTAGATACTTGTCAGCATTCATAAGGTCTCCCCTCAGCCTTCTCTTCTCCAGGCTCAAGAGCCCCAGCTCTCTCAGCCTTTCCTCATCAGGGAGATGCTCCAATCCCTCCATCATCTCTGGTGCCCTACGCTGGGCTCTCTCCAGCAGTTCCCTGTCTCTCTTGAACTGGGGAGCCCAGAACTGGACGCAGGATTCCAGTTGTGGCCTCCCCAGTGCAGAGCAGAGGGGGAGAATGACCTCCCTCCACCTCCTGGCCACACTCTTCCCTACACAGCCCAGGATCCCGTTGGCCTCTTGGCCACAAGGGCACACTGCTGGCCCGTAGAAGGTTTACTATCCTCCAGGACCCCCAGATCCTTCTCCTCAGTAGTGCTTCCCAGAAGATCCACCCCTAACCTATACTGGTGCCTGGGGTTCTTCCTCCCCAGGTGCAGGACTCTACACTTGCCCTTGTTGAACCTCATGAGGGTTTCTTCTCTGCCCAGCTCTCCAGCCTGTTCAGGTGAATCATAGAATCATAGAATCATCTAGGTTGGAAGGGAATTTAAAGATCATCTAGTCCAACCATCAACCTAACTCTGACCAAAACCAAGAAAACAAACAAACAAAAAAAAATGAACAAAAAACCCCAAACAAAAACAACAACAAAAAAACCCACACACCACTAAACCATATTTCTGAGGACCATGTCTACCCGTCTTCTGAACACCTCCAGGGATGGTGCCTCAACCACTTCCCTGGGCAGCCCATTCCAATGCTGGATAACCCTTTCCGTGAAGAAATTTTTCCCAATCTCCAATCTAAACCTCCCCTGGTGCAACTTGAGGCCGTTTCCTCTTGTCCTATTGCCTGTGACTTGGGAGATGAGACTGACCCCCGCCTCTCTACACCCCCCGAATGCAGCGTCTTATATTTCGCACCCCTCTTGATCACAGGGAGATCTCTGTTTGCAGTTGGCCATTATAGCAAATCCAGAGGGTTCCTCCTTCAGTATTAAGGCATGATTTGGTGATTCTAACAGGGCACAAGATCTGGCTCAACAGTTCTCCCCGGCTGCAGCTCTCCTTCAGGGAAATGTCACCCTCAGCAGCTCCATTGGATAAGAGCTGTCATTTGGCTTCTTTTACAGACTAAAGCCAAGGACAGTCTTCAGAGAGTTCTTACTCTCTTCAGAGTCCTTACCTTTCCATGAACAAGGACTACCACAGAACTGACTAGTCTGAGAGTGCCGTTGCAATGCTATCTCCACAAGAGGGAAAAAATGGGAGATAAAAGTTAAACTGCAATTTATTTATTTTTTTGGTTTTGGGGGACAGCTTTCCTCTTTGGTCTCAGCTTGTAGGAAGTCTGTGTAACCCTGAAAACATGCCAGCTAAAACAATACACAACTGCCACTTAAAACTTCACAGCTGTTTCAAAGTTGTCATTACAACTGCACCGCTAGCTGTGTTAAACTCTCCTAAAACTTGACATGAGCCATTATAAAGCTCTAGCTACTAGAGTAATGCCACTTGGTTTCTAATGCAGGCGGACACCAACCTCACTAGAAGAAAAGATGCAAGTCCCTTACTTCAAAGCAGAAGCTGTTAAATAATACCGCTTTTAACTGCTGGCCTTTGCTCTAGAACTCTTCAAATTTTAAGAGATTATAGGCTTGCTGCCGAGCTGAAGCAAATCTTGTGTTTGGAACTACAGTTAAGATCCTCTGCCTCGTTTGACTTCAAATGCCTGGAGTAGTATTTGAGCTGATGCTAATGAAATACAAATTTCCAGATGTGAAACTCCGGGGAACATTCGACAATCTGCTGTATACATAAAATGTTATTTCGGGGATTAAGTATTAATTTATTCTGTCTACAGGTCACCACGTAAGTCTCATACAAGCCCTCTAATTAATACTTAACATTGTTATTTTAGATGTTGTTTACCTGGGTTTGATTTACTCAGCTGTTTTTACCGTCTTTACAGCAGTAACTGCATCAATGCATTTGTTTCAAGAGTGGCCCTAAGTCTCTTAATTTATTTTTTCACAGCTAACCAGGTGCTGAAGTTCGGGACGCTCGTCAGTACCTCCAACACCTACGACGGCTCAGGGACTGTGACCATCCAGACAGACAAGCCTTTGCTGTGGACAATGGCTATCAAAATGTAACATCAGCCACTGCTGCCTTCTCCAATCTGACTCCATGCAAATCGCTGCGAAAATTCACTGAATTAAGACAATAAAGCTGTTCCAAAAGATGTAAGCAGGCACTGATTTTATGCACTGACTGTAAAAAAAGTCTGAAATAAAAGTCGCTTGAGATCAAGTGAAGGTTAGTAGCAATAACTGAGCACTTCCCTCTGGTATCTCACACTGCTTAATCAGAAGACACGGGAGCTGCCACCCAGTACAATCACAAGCAGAAGGGAACGTAAAGAAACTGCTACTACTTAGTCTGGTTAGTTCAGACTATTTTTTACAAGGTGTTTTATTCCAATACTGAACTGTTTTTTCCCCTTTTGCCAAAGGAAATACAGTGCACTGTTGCACACAGGATAACTACACTAAAAGGTGATAGCACTAAGAGCAGCTAATCTCATGTCTCTGTCCTGCTTTATAACCTATGCAGGTGCTGGTGAAGATTTCTCAAGAAGAGTAGTAATTGAACTTTTCTACTTATGAAGCAAGTCTACGTGCTGAAGAAGCTTCAGTTTTGCCCTAATACCAATATCAGATTTCCCAGTATAAAGTGCTTTTAAAGTCTGCAATAGAATCACAGAATCACAGAACTGTCTAAGTTGGAAGAGACCTTTCAGATCATCAAGTCCAACCATCAACCTCACTCTGATAAAACCCATCACTAACCCATGTCTCTAAGCACTATGGCAACCCAGCTTTTAAATCCCTCCAGGGATGGGGCCTCAACCCCTTCCCTGGGCAGCCCAGTCCAAGGCTTAAGAACCCTTTCCCTGGAAACATTTGTCCCAATCTCCAACCTGAACCTCCCCTGGCGCAACTTGAAATAGCATTGCAACTTCTGCAGGTATCAAATGCTTGCAATAAACTTTTTGGAGTGAAATATAAATTTCTTGATCTCAATCCGAGGAGGAAGAGCATTGCATCTACCATTTTTTTTTTTGCAGGCCCAGTTTTTAAAATCAAATATTCAATCATTTAATAATGTAAACTTCCAGATCAACAAATGCAGAGCCTGTTATAATTCCATGTGCAGTTGTCCTACAGAACCAGTATCCAACACAGGTTTACCTCCTGTCCAACACGGTGAACAAGCTGCGGGTTCACTGAAGGAACTGCTTCGTATCTCTGACAACTAAACTAACCTAAAACCGTACATCTCAGTAACCAACTAAGTTTGCCTTTCTTAATTACGCCATCGGGATAATGATTGGCAATGGAAGTTTTATTTATTTAATGGAGTTTTTTTCCAGTCAAGTACATAATATAATCTGACAGGATTTCCAAATGCAGGAAGGAATTAGGGGCAATGATGGTGATTCCGGAAATTAGTGATAAGAATGCCAGTTGATAGACTTTTAAGTCACCACTTGAGAGGATACAGCTATGCTGTTTTCTTGCTGTCTACTTTTGCTGGAATGATGCTGTTAGTAATTAAGCTTCTGAAGAGAAGCTCTGTGGTTGTCATCCTTGGAGGTTTTCAATACCCCACTGGAAAAAGCCCTGAGCAACCCCATCAAAATGCTACTCTGAGCCAGCTTTGAGCAGGAGGTTGGACTAGAGACCTCCCAAGGTCCCTTCCTACCCCATTGGTTCTATTATGGCTGGAAAGTAGTAACAAAACCAAGCAAAAACCAAACCAACAAAAAACCCGCACTCTACTGCTACTACTGAAAAAAAGCTTGTAACGTACAGGTTTGAGCATGCACACTTTAGAAGAGGAATAAGATGACAAGACCGTTTGAAAATCCAAACTGAGCTTCTTTAATAAGCAAACCAGTTACAAAGCTGTGAAATCTTTGCAGCAAGTGTCACAGTGTCTCCTCCTTCATGATGAATATTCAGCCGCCTCTGTTGAGAGAGCAAAGTAATCAGTTTCAACTAATCAAGTGTGATCAAGAGATCCCATTAAGTCTTCCCTTGTCCTCCCACCATTGCCTTGTTGGGACAAACATTACTACCATTACAGCTTATCTACTATTTCCAAACATTCCTCCTTGCCTAGAGGACCGCTCTTACAGGTGTAAGTAAGCCCTGTGTCATGGTTACATGGTATTTTTACAGAATTTAACCTGTTCCAGTGCTAGAAAATGGATTACATCAATCAGCTCTGGAGAATCTGAGGAGTTTGAATTGGTGGTGTTAATACATCAGCACCATGGCTGACGGTGAACATAAGGTTGAAGCATTTCATGCTGCAACCTTCATTCCAAAAGGTGTTTCACAGAATGCAGTTACACCTAAAATGAAGTTTCAAATATATCTGGCACTCAGTAAACGAAACAAGAGGAAATATGTTCTGTGCCCTGTCATCTTCCAACACACTCGCTTGGTTTTCTCTACCTTGCTGTCCCTGCATTGACTTCAGACACCCAAATTATAAACTGGAAAAAGTAAGAGTATGTGAGATCCGAGTAAGGTACATGTTGTGTGGATAAACACACACTGAGGAACTGGAAATCAAAATATTTGACTTTCAGTTTTGAAGGAGAATACTAACAAAAAAACCAAACAACTAATTAAGAACTATGGATCTAATATTTTGCAGCATGGTAAATTAACAAGCTACTTCCTGATAAAGTCCTTTGAATCAAGCAATACCTGTCCTATTACACTAACCTGTGAAATGCCAATGTAGGGCTCACTAACATCCTCTATTTAAAACTGAACAGGCAGAAATGAATGTAAAATTTAGTGAAACTGAAGGTTTGTATTTACTTACACAATGATATTGTTGATTGGGATATGGACCAATTTGACAAAGAAACTAATAAATCCCATTATCGCAAAGCCTATTGCTGTTGCCATGGCAATCTTCTGGAACTCTGCAAAAACAAACAAAAAAACCCCAACATTTTAGTCTCGGAAGCCTCATGCATGGCATAGAGGAGGTGGGCACTACAGCGACCAAAGGAAAATGGTGGAAATGAGAGAAAATGGTAATGCCAACACAGGAAGCAGTTCAAGAGCAAACTGCACTGACGTTGAGAAACCAATCTGCCTTTTCAGAAGACACATTTTAAGAGAGAAAATGCTGCTTTCCACAAAGCACGGCTATCTCAATTTTTTTTTAAATAGTCAGCAGAATCAGAAATTCCCAGTCCTGAACAATTTGTGGACCATTTATTCCATTGCCTTTCCTTCATATCCCTACAGGCCCTCAAAAAAATCCCCAATACAGTATGGAAAAAGGAAAAGCTGCATTTGTGCTTGTCACAGGAAAACAGCACCAAAAACCAAGTACTTAAGGGATATTCTCAATTATTATAAGAGCAAGAACCAGTAACAGTCTGGTTATAGTTGCACCTTCTCTATTGCCTTTTCAGAAAGCCCAAAAATCTTTTTCTATACTTCCAGCAACAAAGTTCAAAAGCAATCCTAGCTCCGTTCGAGTCTCCTAAAATGCAGCGTTTCCTCCAAGGTCACGTAACAAGCAGTTTCCTCCAGCCTCTCCCCCAAGTTGACCACAATCAGTGAAACCTGCCTCCTGCTGTGTTTGTTCTTTTCAGAGTGCATGCGAGATCTTCTCAGATCAGTTGACCTAATACATGAAAATTATTACTTGCCTGTACCAAAATGGCTTATTTGAGCTGCTCAGCCGATTTCATCAGATGATTTTTAGCAGCACTCTCATGTACCTGACTGAGCAGACACCGGAAAAGGACGCATTCAAGTTTATTGTATCCAGAATCCTAAACCCAACTGGACGACTGCTCAAGGTTAAGTTTCATACGGGAAGCTGAGAAACATTCGTGGCAAATAAGTCACAATTGGAAAGATTCACGGTAAGACAGATGAGGAAACGAGGATGGTGCTCTGTTTTATTGTGCACTTTACATTTCCTGTCAGGCTTGGTGCATCTCTTGACGAGCCGTATGGAGTCTTTGACAAACTGGCGTCTGGGTTCCACAAATTGCATTACCTGATCCATGATCACCTGCAAAGATGAAGGGGTTCAGTATTGGCGCTGCCGCGCATCTACTGCAAGAGAGAACTTTTTAGTTACAGAAGGAGAAGGAGTGCTGCAAAAATTTCTAAAGACTTGAAGTAACTTAAAATGCCATATTCCAAGCTTTAAAGATACTTTCACTTTACAGAAAATAAACACTGTGTCAATGTATAAACATGATGACCTACCTACAAAAAATAGGAAAAAATCACAGAATGCTATGGGGTTGGAAGGGACCTCTGGAGATCACCCAGTCCAACCCCCTGCCAGAGCAGGTCCACCCAGAGCAGGTCCCACAGGAATGTGTCCAGGCGGGTTTGAATGTCTCCAGAGAAGGAGACTCCACCACCTCCCTGGGCAGCCTCTGCCAGGGCTCTGCCACCCTCACAGCAAAGAAGTTCCTCCTCATGTTTAGGTGGAACTTCTTATACTCAAGTTTGTGCCTGTTCCTTCTTGTCCTCTCCCTGGGCACCACTGAAAAAAGACTGGCCCCATCCTCCTGACACCCACCCTTGAAGGATTTATAGGCATTGATCAGATCCCCCCTCAGTCTTCTCTTCTCCAGACTGAAAAGACCCAAGTCCCTCAGCTTTTCCTCATCAGAGAGATGCTCCAGACCCCTCATCATCTCTGTAGCCCTCTGCTGTCCCCTCTCCAGCAGTTCCCTGTCCTTCTGGAACTGGGGAGCCCAGAACTGGTCCCAGTGCTCCAGATGGGGCCTCCCCAGGGCAGAGCAGAGGGGCAGGATGACCTCCCTCCACCTGCTGCTCACCCTCTTCCTGATGCCCCCCAGGATGCCCTTGGCCTTCTTGGCCACAAGGGCCCATTGCTGGCTCATGGGCATCCTCTTGGCCACCAGGACTCCCAGGTGCTTTTCCTCAGAGGTGCAAAAATTAGGCCTTTTGATGCAGAGGAAAGCAACAGCTCCATCACAGCTTGCATTACCCCACGCTGTATTTTTCATAGGACACTCCTGAAGGCATCTAAAGAGGTAAAAGTCCCCCGTGTAAAGAAGCCCCTGGGGCACAGGCTGCAGGAGGGCTGGTGGGCATCGACAGGAATACTGTGGCCCGATTTTATTCCCAAAACAAGCTCCCGCCACCCCAGGCGGGCAGCACCGCCGGCTGCTAATTCACACAGACCCCCCAGTACCAGGCTCCCTCCTATCGAACCCTCTGTCGCCGACCTCCCCCCCCGGCCCTGTCGCGACAGCGGCCGAGGCCCAGCCGCCCTGCCTGCCCCCACCCAGCCCCGGGGACAGCCAGCGTGGGCCGCCGGCCTCCCTCCCTTGGGAGCGGCCTAGCTCCGTGGGGAGCAGCCTCGGCCCCCCGCGATCCGTGCCCCGCGGGTGGAGGCGGGCCCGGGGGCTGCCTCCCCGCGCTGCCCGTCTCCTCAGGCGGCGGTGGGCACACCGCGGGGGGAGCCCGGCGGCCCCGCACCTCCCTTACCGCTGGCGCTGCCGGGCGAAGGCCACGTCGCACAGCGGCGGGGAGCGATGGCGTCACGGGACGGGACGGGACGGGACGTCACATCAACACGCCCCTTCCCGGCGGGGCGGGATGGTTTTCAGAAGGAAAAAAAAAAAAAAAAAAAAAAGAGGATTTTGAGGCGTTCCCGGCTCTTCCCCCACCGCCCCTCGCCCCGCCTCACGGGCGGTGCAGGCGACTGCGCAGCGACGAGGCCGGCCGGGGCCTAGCGCGGGGAGCGGCGCGGCGCGGCGCGGCCTGCTCTGTGGGCAGGGGGAGCCCCGGGAACTGGGGCCTGCTCGGTGGGCAGGGCAACCCGGGGAGCATCCCGGGCCTGCCTTGGTGGGCAGGGGGAGCCCGGGCCACCTCAGTGGGCAAGGGGAGCCTGGGCCACCTCGGTGGGCAGGAGAGCCCTGTCCTCTCCCACCAATGGAGTGTCCTGGCAGCCGCCCCAATGGAGAGGCCTGAGGGCCCCAGGGAGGCTGTCGGTGGGGCCTGGCGGGGGCTGCAGCTCACAGCTCTGGGGGGTGAGGGCAGTGGTGCTGGTTAATCCACCTGTCATTTATCCACGTGGCGCTTCTGTGGCAGTGGATTTTCTTTCCCCTGCGGTTGTAGCCATAGGAGATCGCCATAGGTCCCTTCCAGCCCCTGCCGTTCTGTGATCCAAGGGCCTTGTAATGGGGAAATAAAGGGAAGGCGGTACAATATATCTGTATCAAATGCTGTTTGATGAAGGGAAGGGGAAAAAAAACACATGAAAACTTTGTTCAGATGGTGATTTCCTGCGAGTCAGACATCTGCTGGTTTGTAGGAGTGTTGAAGCCATTCCGAGCTACAGGAGTTCATCACCTTGGAAAACATCGACTCCTGTGGTGGCTTTTTTGTCTGGAGGATTGTGCAGCACAGTGCTCAAAAATGGCAATACGGGACGGGACGTCCCATCAACACGCCCCTTCCCGGGGGGGCGGGAGGGTTTTCAGAAGGAAAAAAAAAAAAAAAAAAAAAAGAGGATTTTGAGGCGTTCCCGGCTCTTCCCCCACCGCCCCTCGCCCCGCCTCACGGGCGGTGCAGGCGACTGCGCAGCGACGAGGCCGGCCGGGGCCTAGCGCGGGGAGCGGCGCGGCGCGGCGCGGCCTGCTCTGTGGGCAGGGGGAGCCCCGGGAACTGGGGCCTGCTCGGTGGGCAGGGCAACCCGGGGAGCATCCCGGGCCTGCCTTGGTGGGCAGGGGGAGCCCGGGCCACCTCAGTGGGCAAGGGGAGCCTGGGCCACCTCGGTGGGCAGGAGAGCCCTGTCCTCTCCCACCAATGGAGTGTCCTGGCAGCCGCCCCAATGGAGAGGCCTGAGGGCCCCAGGGAGGCTGTCGGTGGGGCCTGGCGGGGGCTGCAGCTCACAGCTCTGGGGGGTGAGGGCAGTGGTGCTGGTTAATCCACCTGTCATTTATCCACGTGGCGCTTCTGTGGCAGTGGATTTTCTTTCCCCTGCGGTTGTAGCCATAGGAGATCGCCATAGGTCCCTTCCAGCCCCTGCCGTTCTGTGATCCAAGGGCCTTGTAATGGGGAAATAAAGGGAAGGCGGTACAATATATCTGTATCAAATGCTGTTTGATGAAGGGAAGGGGAAAAAAAACACATGAAAACTTTGTTCAGATGGTGATTTCCTGCGAGTCAGACATCTGCTGGTTTGTAGGAGTGTTGAAGCCATTCCGAGCTACAGGAGTTCATCACCTTGGAAAACATTGACTCCTGTGGCTTTTTTGTCTGGAGGATTGTGCAGCACGGTGCTCAAAAATGGCAATGCTTTTTACATTTCAGGGCCATAGGTGTAATGTAGAACAGTTCCTTGCATGAGGGGGTAAAAGTGCCTGTCCCTGCCTGAAGTGAGTCATTTCTTGCTGGTTTTGAAAGGGAAATCAGATCCTATCACAGGTAAAGGAAGAACAAAGATAACATTTAGTGATTTTCATCCTAAATTTGCTTCTGATATTATTAATTTCAGACTAGAACTCTACCTAGCTGGCTGCCACCTTTGAGTGGATAACTTTATTAACTATTCACCAGTCAGGCTATGGGGCTTTTGCAGCCAGAATAGGCAAATGCTTTGTTTCTCTCAGTTCACCGTTGCATTGAAGTGCTTCAGAAAAACAGCCTTTGTGACAGATAAAGTACCATCACACCACAGTAGGGACTTATTGGGTATTGCACAGGTTTTTTGACAGCCGCCTTCCTTGTCTTTGCCCACAGGGCAGGCACCTCTGTGTTAGTGATCGCATCCAAGTATGAGCTTTCCCTTTGGCTTTGGAGGGTTATTGCCTTGGGCTCCTCTGCAAGTTTCCTCCAAAGGCCTGATTTGAATTTTGAGTCACAGAATGCTATGGGGTTGGAAGGGACCTCTGGAGATCATCTAGTCCAACCCCCTGCCAGAGCAGGTCCACCCAGAGCAGGTCCCACAGGAACGTGTCCAGGCGGGTTTGAATGTCTCCAGAGAAGGAGACTCCACCACCTCCCTGGGCAGCCTCTGCCAGGGCTCTGCCACCCTCACAGCAAAGAAGTTCCTCCTCATGTTTAGGTGGAACTTCTTATACTCAAGTTTGTGCCTGTTCCTTCTTGTCCTCTCCCTGGGCACCACTGAAAAAAGACTGGCCCCATCCTCCTGACTCCCACCCTTGAAGTATTTATAGGTGTTGATTAAATCCCCCCTCAGCCTTCTCTTCTCCAGACTAAAAAGACCCAAGTCCCTCAGCTTTTCCTCATCAGAGAGATGCTCCAGGCCCCTCATCATCTCTGTAGCCCTCTACTGTCCCCTCTCCAGCAGTTCCCTGTCCTTCTGGAACTGGGGAGCCCAGAACTGGTCCCAGTGCTCCAGATGGGGCCTCCCCAGGGCAGAGCAGAGGGGCAGGATGACCTCCCTCCCTCCACCTGCTGCTCACCCTCTTCCTGATGCCCCCCAGGATGCCCTTGGCCTTCTTGGCCACAAGGGCCCATTGCTGGCTCATGGGCATCCTCTTGGCCACCAGGACTCCCAGGTCTTTCTCCTCAGAGCTGCTCTCCAGCAGGTCACCCCCAACCTGTCCTGGTGCAGGGGGTTATTCCTCCCCAGATGCAGCACCCGACATTTGCCCTGGTTGAATTTCACCAGGTTCCTCTCTGCCCAGCTCTCCAGCCTGAGTCACACCTCATCTAGCACTATGCCTCCGATGGGGCTGTAATTTTGGTGTCGAGATTCTGCTGGAGGTTTTCCATCAGCACACAAGCATGGAAAGATCAGAGCTGGTTAGGCCTCCCTCCCTCCTGCGTGTATCTGGTCTGTCCTCTTTGAGGCCTGTTGGCAGCTGGGAGGAGGAGCAGTCCCACCAGTCCGGGAGAAGAAGATCTCTAAGGAATGCAGCCTAATAGCCCACGTGTGCAGTGCCTGGGGCTGCAGAGCAGGTTGCTGGTGCTCTGCGTGAAGCTGCCTCTAGTGGGATTTGGTATGGTTTGTTCTGTTTGGTGTTTTTTTTTTTTTTTTTTAAATGGCCTTGAACTAATGTATTGTTACTTAGAATTGGTCTCCAGGGCAACTGTGTTGCTGTGCTGTGTATATTTACTGAGTCACCTGTGTTTGCAGAAGATACGAAAAAGTTTACTATTACTGGGGGTTTTGTTTCTACTTCTTTATGGCCCTTGCAAGGTTGGGACAGAAAGTGGTTGTGCTTGCACGTGTAAATTTTCATGACAGCTTTACAAGTCTGCATTTATGATGGTATCTGAGCAGTAAATAATCATTCTCTCAACATAAAAAAAAAGGCAGTTGTTACCCTGTATTGTGGTGTGCTAACAGTGATTTGGTTCTGGATATTTATTTTGCATAAACTGAAGCAACATCTTGGTTTTTAGTGTTTTTTTTTTTTTCCTTTTTCCCCATCCTATTGTACGCACCCAAGGATGAGAAGATTCTTTTGATGATAGTTTTGCTTTGCTTATTTACACAGAGACCAGGCACTCTGGTTGTCTCCTTGTGTCAGGGCATGAACTGGAAGGAGGCAAGGCAAATACAGGTCGCTTCTCCAGGGGAGTTTTTGGGAGGGATGGATTGTTTGAGCACAGTAGCCTCTGAGGACAGAATCTGACTTGCTTTCATGAATTTGAGGGGAAATGGTTATCCTGAGAGGCAGCAAAGGCAAAGAAAAAGACTAAGAAAACAGGGAAGGTGGCAGCTTGTGGGCTTCCATACACGAGGATGCCAGGCCACTGGGGAGAGTGGGCATCTGAATATGCTCTCCAAACAGACATAGCAAAGAACAAAGACCACACAGCAGCATGAGATTTACAGCCCAAGCAAGGGAAGAGTGCAGAAGAGGAAGAGAGAGAGGAGAAAGGGAGGTGGTGGTGTGGGAAAGGTGTTAGGGGATGTCCTTGGGCGGAAGAGCCTGCTGAGCTGCAGGCAGATGCCTCCTCAGGTCTTCAAAGGCTGCAGCATGGTAGCCCCATTGACTGGAGTCATGCTAATGATCCATCGCTTGGCAGTCGGTGTTGTTGGATGACTGAAAGACTATAAAATTGAGTCTTTAGAAATTGCTTCGAAACGTGGGACCTTTTAAGGAGAAAGGGAGGTGGTGGTGTGGGAAAGGTGTTAGGGGATGTCCTTGGGCGGAAGAGCCTGCTGAGCTGCAGGCAGATGCCTCCTCAGGTCTTCAAAGGCTGCAGCATGGTAGCCCCATTGACTGGAGTCATGCTAATGATCCATCGCTTGGCAGTCGGTGTTGTTGGATGACTGAAAGACTATAAAATTGAGTCTTTAGAAATTGCTTCGAAACGTGGGACCTTTTATTTCTTAATTTTACATTATCATAAATATGTTTGATTAATTTATATCTTGAGAAACCTTTGGAATATCTGTGTGCTTCTGACATTTAAAAATTATTTTTAGCCTTTCATTCTCCTAAACGATCCTGAGTCTCTGTTTGGACTTGATAAGCACATCTGCATGATTTACGACGGGAGGAAAGATGATTTCCCTCCTCAGTAGCTGTACAGATGCAGGGGGAGAACACAAATTAGGAATTAATGTTAAGAAGGAAGTGATAGCTCAGATTCGGGGTTCAGAAAGAAATGATGAAGTACGTGTGGTCCGTGTCTTTGGG